TGTGTGTGTGTGTGTGTGTGTGTGTGTGTGTGTGTGTGTGTGTGTGTGTGTGTGTGTGTGTGTGAGATCAAATGACACACCACAGTCCTAATGGTGAGGAGAGGAGGATGCTTTTATGTGTGTGGTATAAACGCTACCTACAGCCTAATCTGTGTCTGTTGCTGTGTCTCTCTGCACGTGTGTGTGTGTGTGTGTGTGTGTGTGTGTGTGTGTGTTTTGGCCCTGTGGAGAAAATAAACACACTTTACACACTCTCGCTAGTTTAGTTAATTAATCTGCTAATATTTTTTAAAGAAATAGTTTAGCCAAAAATGTAACTGCGCTGAAAATGTACTCACCCTCAGGCCATCCAAGATGTAGATGAGTTTCTTCGTCAGAACAGACTTGGAGAAGTTTAGCATTACATCACCAGTGGATCCTCTGCAGTGAATGGGTGCCGTCAGCATGAGAGTCCAAACAGCTGATAAAAACACCACAATAATCCACAAGTAATCCACACCACTCCAGTCTAAGAATTAATATTTTGTGAAGTGACAAGCTGTATGTTTGTAAGAAACAAATCCATCATTAAGATGCTTTTCATTTCATACCATTGCTTCTGGCTAAAATAAATGATCAGTGCACTATGCTTTTAAACTTAATGTAATAATATATATCTAGCATCACAAAACCTATGAGTTTTTAAAAAATATGAGTTACGGGACCAGCCATTGCTTGTATCAATGTTTTTTTTTTTTTTTTTTTTTGGAATACACATTCAGTAAGAAAGTCCATAGAAAGTTTTTAGATTTTTATTGATTTATTTTAAGAATTTTTATTTTATTTTTTTAGAGTAATTGGAATGTAACTGGAAAACAATGTGTAATTATAATATTTGATACAAAGAGTCAAAATGAAAATAAATGGCCTTATTTTAATGTACTTTCTTGTTGAAAATGACTGCAAGAAAGTGTTTGTACCATGATTTTCCTGTTTTGAAAATTTATAAATTAAATAGGAAATAACATCGTTTTTTTCTGACAAATTTAACCGATGTTACTATTCTGCTTGTCTGTGTGTCTGTCTGTCAGATGTGTTCAGATGAGATCTAATGGGTTTGATGTGTGATGAGGTCTGAAGGGGTCTGAGGAGGTCTTCACAGTATATTTTTATATATCTAAACCCTTAATGCTAACTATATGCCTAAAAAAGTTCATCAGACTTCATGCTTTAAAAGCCTTTTTACCAGGCTTTGTCAAGTCAACATCAAAGTCTTTCCTGTTCCAGTTAATATTTATAATATCAAACGTTCCAAATTTATCCACCATCTTAAAATCTCTTTGAAAAACAGTCACTGCAACACTTCATGTAATTTTTGCACTTATATTCATGTCAGAGTAAAACCTTTGCTTTATTTTTACATTGTCTATCATTTTAGCTTCATTGTACTTATTTTGACATTGATTTTAGATGTATTGATGCTGTTTCAACAGCCGTTTTAGGGCCGTTTACTCTTCAGCACCAGTTCAAACAGCTTCCTTTTTATTTCTTATAATAACGCTGTTGTATTTTTGAACATGTCATGTTTGCATATAGAAATCATCTCATGCTTTTATTGTTCTTCTGACAATGGGTTTCCTCTTTAAATTTATACGCTGACCTGCAGCATTTTACTTCACTGAAATACATAATCAGACTTGCTGTCCTGACCACATCTGCTAATATTCATGCTTGGGTATTGCATGTAAATATGAATAATAAGTAAACACACAACCAGTTTTTCTACTTTATGATCCAAATGCTCTAATCTGGCCTTAAAAGCTATGCTTGAATGTGAAAGTCACTTCCCATTATCATATATTATCATTACATATTATGATACAATGAAGACATGAATTAGGAAATGAAATAAAATACTGCAATGCATTTAAATATATCAATTATAAAAATAAAATAATGTGAATATTTAACTAACCCTAATAAAAATGAAACATGAACATAAATGTGAATATTAAACATAGAAATAAAATATTATGTTTGTTTTTATTTTCAACTTTAAATTAATTAATTAATATTAATTTACAAAGATAAAATAAAAAAATAATAAAAAAATGTACGAACAAATAAAAATAAAATATAAAAATAAATGTGTCTATTAAACATAGAAATAAAGTATTTTAATTACGTTTTATTTTTATTTTAAATTAATTAAATAACTGATTAAAATGTTATAAAGTATGCTGAATTTATCCTGTCATTTATATATATATATATACTGTATATATATAAAGTGTCATTTATTTTTGAAGGCTTGACCCTCCATAACAAGCTTGGCATACGATTATAAACATGTTTCTGATAAGATTATGCATGCAAAAAAATAAATAAATAAAATAAAATAAATACATGCACTGTTCCTCCGCCTGTGCACAATGTATGTAATATGATTTAATATGATGCATAGGCACATTAATATATCGAGACATGCACAGGGTCATTTCCAT